ATTGCATTTTACTAAAAAAAGGGAATTACTTCTTCTTAGGTGCATGCCTATGAGAGGATGAACAGAGTCTTCAACTATACTTTGGATTCGTGTGGTCCTGTTTATATAACAGTTGGAGATGGCGGTAACATTGAGAAGGTTGATGTTGATCATGCAGACGATCCTGGAAAATGTCCCTCTGCCAGTGACAATATTCCAGAATTTGGAGGTGTATGTCATATGAATTTCTCCTTTGGCCCTGCAAAAGGAAAATTCTGCTGGGATAGACAACCTGAGTGGAGTGCCTACAGAGAGAGCAGCTTTGGACATGGAATTCTTGAGGTAAAGTCTGAGATTGGGAGCTTAAATATTCTATTGATAAATTTCTGCATATTTGGCCCCAAGTTTCAGCTATCTGTTTTGCAGTAGGGATTTAAAAATGTGGACAGACAATTAAGCTTAAAAGATATAGATTGGAACTGATAATCTATTAAATTTACGGTTGATACTGTAAATACGCAGAAATTGAGTATAACTATGACTTCTACATTAGCTTCTGCACTTTTTCTATCTTTGAAATTGAGTACTGCTTTCATGTTTATCTCCAAGATATCAATTTTATTCCTTTTTCCATCTTGAACTATGCAGTTTGTAAATTCTACATATGCACTATGGACTTGGCATAGGAATCAGGATATTTACCAAGACAGCCATGGTGATCAAATATATATTGTTAGACAACCTGAATTGTGTTCCAATAGTTCAAAGGTAAGCCTACAAATTTCCTCGAAGACCTTTACGAAACGAATCATGGTTTACGAGTAACTAAAGAATGTTGATTTGAAGCAATAATTGAAATTTTTTTAAACCTCTTTTCAAACAGTTATTAAGACTGATGGGAAGTGATTGTTGACATTTGTATTTTGCAGCAGAAAGTATTCAATAAAGGTAAGGTGCATCCATGGCTCACAGAATAAGGGGTAAAACTATTAAGCACAACGTATTCACTTATGAAAGTATTGTAAAAATTAATCCAGGTTACATGTTCAGAACTATGGAAACTCTTTCATTCTTTTTGTTCTTTGCAGTCTTTCTGAATGGGGCTGTATATTATTCAGAACTTGTAATTCATTTTTATGAATAATGTGAAGTGAAGGTCTTTTATGAATGGAGTTGATAACTTCTCAATGTTGCTTATTTGTTACAGGGCAGTAATATCAAGTCACAGGCCCCACAAGCAAATGTAGTAACTGAACTGAGAAATCCTTCATTTAGTAGCTTTTTGTGGTATTATTTCCTGCTCTTTATTCTATTCCTACATCAATATTTGATGATTTGAAAAAAAGAAAAAAAAAAAAAAGTGGACCCCCTTCTCATGAATACTTTTTCCAGTAATTGGTTTAGTTTCAATTTGTAATTGGGAATAAATTTTACACGATGACGATGGTCAACCCATGTTTTGTACAAAATACAGTCCACTGGATATGATTAAATTGTATAGAAAAAAATTAACTTCTTTTTCTTATTTTAATATCCAATACTATTTAATCTGCTTTATCAAACATGTCCTTGATCAGCCAAAATTCTTAGGTTTTGTGCTCCGTTTGACTGTTAGAAAGGACTTAATGTGACGTCACGACTCATGCTACGATAACGATTTTATGTTCAAAAAGAAAAAAACGTAGAATAAATAATAGACATTATTGAAAGTTTGGAATTTAGGAAAAATTGATTTCGGATGAAGTCATGGACAAAATAATTAATTTTAACCGTCTAGTTCATCCGCACGTAAACACTACATATCATGAGCTGGTTTTGAGTTAGATTACTGAAGTTCATTTTCAATTTTCCATTTTGAGGGTCTATTTTAAAATTGCTAAAAACATTTTGATTTGTCATTTTGAAAAATTGTTTCTCAAAATTGAAAACTAAAAAATACGTTTAATTTGAAATTTTGAGGAATTGTTTTATGATATTT